TCTCCATATGCTGTTGTTATTGTTGTTAAGTGCTATCGAGTCGGTTCCGACCCATAGCAACCCTGTATAGGGTTTCCAAGGAGCAGCTGGTGAGCTTGAACCACGTATCTTGCGGTTCAAAACAAAATTGCAGTCCGATGCCTTTTCCCACAGGTATCAGTATAAGAATGTAGTTTTTCATATCACCAAATGAGATCACACTCTTAAGTTCTGTTGTTGGACCTGTTCACATACATACCTTTTATTATCTATACTGTGCTCCATTTCAACCTTTTCATTTTGACTAAGATCACTGTTTTTCAGCGCCTTTATTTTTTATTCCAAGTTTATTAGGAAAAAATAGTCACAATTTATTGCTAAATATAAAACTAGGTTTCTAAATGTCATAGTTAAATAATAACAGCAGAGTCATAGTAGGGTGAAAATGGACTTGACTGCAATGTTGTTATTGCTGTTGTTATTAGGTGCCTTTGGGTCAATGCTGAGTTATAGCAACCTTGTGCACAACAGATGAAACACAGCCTGGTCCTGCATTGCTAAGCTTGAGCCCATGAATGCTGCCACTATGCCAGTCCTTCTTGTTGGAGTCTTCCTTGTTTTCTCCAATCCCCACTTGACCAAGCATGAAGTCCTTCTCCAAGGACTGGTCCCTCCTGATAATATGTCCGAACGTTGAGAAATGAAGTCTTGCCATCCTGGCCTCTAAGGAACATTATGGCTGTCTTCCAAAAAATATTTTTTTCTAAATTTTATTTAGTAATTTGTTTCTAGCATTAGTTCTTCTAAGATCTTTCTTATTCATTGTTGAACTTTCACGTGTATATGAAGCTATTGAAATTAGGTCAGTCACACCTTAGTCCCCAAACTAACATCTTTGCTTTTTAACTAGTGAAAGAGAGAGGTCTTTTGCAGCAGATTGCCTAATGTGATATGTTGTTTCATTTCTTGACTTCTGCTTCCATGAGTGTTGATAGTGGATCCAAGCAAAGTGAAGTCTTTCACAACTTCAGTCTCGTCTTCATTCATTAAGATGTTATTTATTGATCCAATGATAGGCTTTTTGTTTTCTTTGCATGAAGGCTATGGTCTTTGATCTTCACCACTTGTTGTTATGTGCAGTGGAGTCGGTTCCGACTCATAGCGACCCTGTACAGGGTTTCCGAGGCTGTAAATCTTTACAGGAGCAGAAAGCCTCATCTTTCTCCCGCGCAACAGCTGGTAGTTTCGAACTGCTGCCCTTGTGGTTCACAGCCCGATTCATAACCACTACGCTACCAGAGACTAAGTATGTTTTAAGTCCTCTTTATTTTCAGCAAGCAAGGTTATATCACCTGCATAGCGCAGGTTGTTAATGAGTCTTGTTGCAATCTTGATGCTGTATGCTTCATTTAATCCAGTTTTTTAAACCTTTCCTGATTTTAAACCATGTTCTTCTTCGTATAAACCAGCTTTTCGGATTCTTTGTTCATCATACAGATCGATGAAGGAAATTCAACCCTGACATACACTTTCCTAATTTTAAACCATTCGGTGTTCTCTTGATCTGTTTGAACAGCTGCCTCTTGATCTATATACATTTTCCTCATGAGTGCAATTAAGTGTTCTGGAATACTCACTCATTCTCTGCAATGTTGTCCGTAGCTTGTCATGATCACACAGTTGAAAGCCTTTACATAGTCAATAAAGCACAAGTAAACAGCTTTCTGGTATTCTCTGCTTTCAGCCAAGATCCATCTGACATCAGCAATGATAGCCCTCATTGCACGTCCTTATAAGAATCTGATTTTAACCTCTGACACTTCCTTGTCAATGTATTGTTGCAGCAGCTCTTGAATTATCTTAACCAATTTTTAATTGCATGTGATATTAATTATATTGTCCAATGATTTCCACATCCCTTGGGTTACCTCTCTTAGAATGGGTACAAATACAAATTTCTTCCAATCAGTTGGTCACGTAGCTATCTTCCAAATTTCTTGGCATGGATGAGTGAGTGCCTCCAGTGCTGCATCAGTTTGTTGAAAGATTTCAATTTGTATTCTTCCCCGTGCCTTGATCTTTGCCAATGTCTTCAGCACACCTGGGACTTCTTCCCACAGTACAGTTGGCTCTTGACCACATGCTATCTCTTGAAATGGTTGAACATCATCCATTTGTTTTTGTTTTCTTTTTTTTTTTTTCCTTTTTTTTTTGATGCTTTCTGCATTATTCAGTATTTTGCCCATAGAATCCTTCAATATTGCAAGACAGGGCTTGAAGTTTTTCTTCAGTCCTTTTACCTGGATGGCAGTAGGCTTCATGATTTAGATTCTTGGTTATTATTCAGGTCCTGTTTATTGCTTACATACATATGCCTAGTCTCTGAGTTTTTCTTGCCTTCAGGTTATATTCTATCCTTCATTCTTTGACTAAAGCAGTCTACCCAAATTAGTGGTCTAGTCAGGTAATGAAAGGAGCCTGGTGGTGTAGTAGGATAAATGCTGAACTGCTTACCATAAGGTAGGTAGTTCAAACCCACCAGCAGGCTCCATGGGAGAAATATGAGGTTTTCTGTTCCTATAAAGCTTTACTAGTGCCAAGTGTGGAGTCCTGGTGTGGTACTGTAAGGTAAGCACTGAACTGCTAGCCAAAAGGTTGGCAGTTCAAACCCACCAGCCGCTCCATAGAAACCCTATACAGTTGGAACTATGTGACAGTACTTAACAACTACAATATCAACTCTCAACTCATTCCCACTGTATCTTGCATGCAGTTGGTATTAAACATGTATTTTTTCAGTAAATCAACTTCTGGGCACTTTGTTGGAAAGATGGAGTAGGGTACATTGTTTCTACTTCAAATTTAGTTTTGTGATATGTATCAGATCCTAGATTCAAAGTATCTGGGATCAAGTCTTGGGACCCCTGTGGGAAGTGACCTGGGGCAAGTTATTTATCATCTGCGAGTCTTCTTTTTCATATACGATTGAAATAATATTACTGTAAAGTAAGTTATTATGAAGGCTAAGTGTATGTGAAAAACATTTTATAATCTGAATATGTTTTCACATGGTAGCAATCGTGCAAAGTGTGCTGACTTATGTTTAATATATTAAGGTAGGCGCTGTAGTGAACAGCACTGGACTGTGAACCACAAAGTTGACAGTTCAAACTCAACAACTGCTACTTGGAAACCCTATACAAGGTTGCTATGAGTCTTAAAAACAACAGCAACATTGTTTCTATTACTCTTATGCCTACTAGGATAAAGTCTTTAGGTTAGCAAAGGAGACAATTGTTTCTCTTAAAAAGCAACATACAAGGAGGCTTCAGAAAATTCTTGATAAAATTCCATTGTCTTATTAATTTCATTTTTCACAAACTTTGTGAAGCCCCATCATAGTTTCTCAATGCACCAAGGTCAGATTTCTCTATCTTAAATAGTTGGATTTTTTTATATTTACCCCCAAGCAACCAGTGTCTGTGGGTTTCTGTATTTATGTTTATTAGTCAGATTTGGACAGATTCTAAGAGTTTTCTTGAATACCAAAAATTACCACTGGGAAAATAAATAACAAATTTATTTTCTCAACTAGGCTGCATTTGATAGGATTTTCTAGATTTTATGTTAGCCCCACTCGCTTCCCAATTTGTCTTCAGTCTTTGGTGCTAATTAAGTTTTCATTGTTTTTTTTTTTTTTTTTTCAATTGGCAAAATCAGTGAATCATCGAGTTGGTTCTGACTTACAGTGAACACAGACCACAGACCTTGTGGTTCAAACCAACCTTGCAAGGGTCCAGTGCATTAGTCCACAGAGCCACACCAGTACTCCAAAATCAGTGAATTGTTGTTGTTGTTGTTGTTAAGTGCTGTCGAGTCGATTCCGACCCATAGTGACCCTGAACAGGGTTTCCAAGGCTGTAAATCTTTACGGGAGTAGAAAACCTCGTCTTTCTCCCGCAGAGCAGCTGGTAGTTTCGAACTGCTGACCTTGCAGTTCACAGCCTGATTCGTAAACACTACGCTACCAGAGATCAATGAATAGGCATCAAAAAATATTTTAATGAAATTCGTAAACACCTTATTAACTAATTTTTCTTAATTCATAATTTGTTAACTTGTTTTTCGTTCTTACACTATCATATATTTCATAGTTATTTGTATTTCATATCAGTGCTATAATAAAACATCTTATTGATATTTTTTATTAGATTATTTATCATAGAATGAACTACATCCTTTTTCTATGGTGTTTCATGGAAAGAACCTGAGATTTCAAAGTAAACAAGTTTGCGAATCACTGCTTGTACAATATTATTTTATGAGGGATGTTAGATATTTAAAAAAATTTTTTTTAATTCTGTCTCATAGAGACCCCATAGAATAGGGTTGTTGTTAAGTGTATTGAATATACTTTGACTCACTGTGACACCCTGTATAGGGTTTCCAAGGAGTGGCTGGTGGGTTTGAGCTGCCAACTTTGTGGTTAATAGTCCAATGCTTAGCCTACCAGCACCATACCAGGACTCCATAGGGCAGGGTAGAACTATCCTAGTAGTGTTTCTGAGACTGTAAATCTTTATGGAAGCAGACAGCCTCATTTTTCTCCCATGAAAGGGTTGGTGGATTTGAACTGCTGACCTTGTGGTTAGCAGTTACCGTACCCTCTCTGCTACCTTGATTCCTTGAGGTTAGCTATAGGAAAGGACTATACTCAAGTCTGGGGGAGTAGAAAAGAGATGTCTCACCGGCCTGGGTTGCTTTTACAAAGAAACTATTAACAAATCAGAATTTAATAAGATTGTTGTTGTTGAGTGCTCTTGAGTCAATGCCGGCTAATAGTGACCCTATGTAGGGGTTGCAAGGAGCAGTGATGGGTTTGAATCTCTGTTCTTAAGGTTACAGTGCTTATCCTACAATGCCACACCAGGAGTCTCCTATAATTTGGAAAGAAACAGTATTTGGCATTTGTTGTTTCCACTTAACATAGTAATTATCTGTTCCTTCTTCCTCTTTCCCAGGTCAGTGTATGTTCTGTGCGCTATTCTTTTATCACAGAAAAGGGAAGAAACACTGCAGTGAATGAAGATTCTGCTGCATTTTAGCACTGCTGTTTCTCCTGTAGTTGGCTTTTGAATGAGGATGACAATGGAAGAGATGAAGAATGAAGCTGAGACCACTTCCATGGTTTCTATGCCTCTCTATGCAGTCATGTATCCTGTGTTTAATGAGGTAAGTGAGTAAATGTTTCCTCAGATGTTCTCTCCAGTCCCTTAGTGACTGTTCCATTGATTCATTCATGTGACAAGAAATAAATATGGAAATAAATGGACTTGCAACTATGTGCTAGACACCGTTTCAGGATTGGGCATGTTAAGTGCCATCAAGTTGGTTCTGACTCATAGTGACCCTGCATAGGGTTTCCGAGTAGCGGCTGGTGGGTTTGAGCCACCAGCCTTGAAGTTAGCAGTACTAGTGCTTGTCCTATAGTGCCACACCAGGACTCCAAGGTTGGTTATATAGATAGTGAAAAAACTAGACCTGCTCCCCTTTGAGGTTACATTATATCAGGAAAGAGTCTTTGACCCCAAACACACAGCACAATATGTAAAAAACAAATTGTGTTAAATGCTATGAAGAAGTTAAGTCAAAATTGATGCTAAAGAAAGAAAGTAGCAGGTAGGACCTATTTGAGGGATCAGGACAAGATATATATGAAGGGGCTTCAAAAAGTTCCCGGAAAAATTCCATTATTTTAATTCCAGGAACTTTTTGAATCCCCCTGTAATGCTAAGTTCTGAAAGAGAATTGCAAGAGTTTTACATATGAATAGTTTAGGGATCAGTGTATTTGAGGTAGCCAGAAAGTTGTTTGTTGCTGTTAAGTGCCCTTGAGTGGGTTTCTACTCATAGATTTCTGATGTTATAAATCTTTACAGGAGCAGAAAGCCTCATCTTTCTCTTGCAGAGTGGCTGGTGGGCTCGAACTGCAGACCTTGACCTTGAGATTAGTAGTCCAGTGTTTATCCTACAGTCAGAATAACAGGGACAAAGATCATAATAAGTTATTGCATGGTGATAAAATATAGTTGTACTGGTATTTGGAAGATAACTTTGTTTTGTGTCTAGAGAAATTGTAGTTACTTTTTTTTTTTCCATGTTTTATTGTGAATTATATGATATTTTACATGGGAGAACTTTAGTTTTACATTCATTCCACCTTACATTGTTTCATTGCCATGGTTCCAATCCCCTCCATGCAGCATCAATTGACCAAAGGGTATATACCCTATAAACCCACCCCCTACACTCCCCCCATCCCCCATTCTTCAGCACACAGTCCCTCTCCCTCTCTGGATCCAAAGTCCCCATCCGCTTCATCACTCCACGTCATCATCTCTGCCTCCATCTCTGGCCTCGCTGCTTCTCTG